CATTTTCCTTTTTAATATTTTAATCATTATAAACTTGATTCGATTTATATCGTTTAATTTTAATTAATTTATGTATTATTTGATGTTTTTTTGTTGAGATTTTATAATATTCCTAATTTTCTCACTATCCAAATAAGATTAAACTTTTATTTAATTACAGTAAATTTTTCTCCAATTTAGAATTATTTTCATATTTTTTTTTTGTTAATTTTGCACTTAAATTTGTTTGGTTTTTTTTTCGATATAATTTTTCACATATTCTTATTTATTATAAAAATAATTCAATTTCTCATAATTCTTATTTGATTATAGTTTAACTTTTATTTCAATTTATTTTAACACTTTTTCATTAGTTTTTTTCTCACATTTTTTTTAAAATATTTTTTTCGTTCTTTCTTTTTGTTGTTTAATGTGTGAAGATTATAATTATGAACTATGAAAAATTGTAATTTTTTTATGAATATTTACTCTCATTTTAAACAAAATTCGTCCTACATGCGCTGGCTTTCGGGTGAGCACGGAAAAATGTGGAGTCTTTGAGGGTTAATTTCGATTGAATTTGAAGTTTCTGATAATATTACTGGCTTTTGTAATTAAAATAAATTCAATTATTAATCCTTAGGTTCATTTTTTGAACCTCAAGTTAATTTTTTCAACCTATTTATTGAAGCTCAAGTTCAGTTGTTGAAGCTCAAGTTAAGTTATTGAACCTTTAGTTTAAAACTATTGATTAAATCTAGTTAATCACAATATCTCATCTTATGTATCAAACCAATAAATAGGTACCAAACCTTACTTAAGATTCTTTATATATAACTCACCTAACCTATAAAAGTAACGAAACAATGAAACATGAACTAATTAACAACGAAATTCGAATTAAAATTCACTCATCGCTGATTATTTTAATAATGAATCAAAAGAAAAAACTAAGAAGATTCTTTGAACAAAGAAACTTGTAGAATCTTCAGTCTTAATTTCTCAGAATAATATTCTCAAGACGCAAATATTCTCCGAAGGACGTTTAAAACTAAAATAGCTTTAAAATCTTCTTGGAAGTCTGAACTTCACTCTTTTTAGTGCTCACCCGATACAATTATACATTAGCTATTCTCATTCATAACGATAATAATAGTAATAATAATTGAGTATTAATATGTTTCTCATCATCATTAAACTTTCTTTTGTGTATAATCGTAATTGTAATTGTTATTTTTATGAACTACGCGGCATCAGTTAAATAATTTATCAGTCGATTTTGTTATTCTTTTTTGTTAATGTAATGTGGGTTGCATGTAATGTGTATGGATGTATGTATGTATGTATGTATGTATGTATAATAATTTAAATATCTTCACAATCACAATCGTTTCTATCAATAATGCCGGTGCCTTTATAATAACGTATGCCTTGATCATATGTAATTCGTGAACGTCTCCGTACAGTTGATACACTACTACGTCTACTTGTACGAGCACTCGATGATGTACTACTAGGACGTCGCCATTGATCGCCAAATAATTGCTCTAAATAATACCGTAGTCAGATTTTAGTCACTGTTGGTGCATTCAATAATCTGTGAATGAGACGAAAAAAAAGGAAATAAATTATTATAAAACACAAAAATCGATAAGTTGATTAATAATTCAGGAATGTCTATACATAGTTCGATTGAGAGAGATCTATATAGACTTTAATGCTTTCAATAATTAAAGATGAAGTTTATCGCTATTGATTTTAGCTTATATATGTGAAAATATTTTAAATGCTCATTTCAATAGAAATTTTCAATGACCACAAACCACAAAATAAACAGAACTAAGTTTTAAACTGCAGTAAATCTACGAGAAATGAACAAAAATAATTTAAATCCAGTTATAAATCAAACCACTTTTTCATAATGTGTATAAAATATTGCAGAATATTAATCCTCGAAAAATGCAGCAGTACATCTATCAAAAATGAAACAAAAGACATAAAACTCTGAGTTGTTCTGAAACTAGTTTGAATTATTCTTACTGAAGCGACTCAGGAGCGCATTTGATTTCAGCCGATTTCAGTAAAGAATTAATCTGTTTAAAATGAGCATTTCTCAGCCTGATTGCAGGTTCTTCTTGAGATGTTGCTGAATTAAGTATTAGGAACGGCGCTAGTTTTAGTGGATCTTACTTAGAAGCTGTTCACTCATCGCATTTAACGCTTTTACTGCGAGGGGTTAAACAAAGAAAATATTTTTTCATGAAAAATTTATTACAAAATTGCACGGGAAGGGGTGCCTAAGAAATCCATTTTTTATGTTACGTAATAAGTAGAGTTTCAATCCTGTAATTGAAATGTATATAATCTCAGTATCAAACCCGAAATTCAGTACATTTTAATCTCGGGATTGAAATCCTAATAAACGAATGTCCCCGAGTTTTGATGGGAATTGAACTTCTCTTTTTGACTATACTGCTTCAGGAAAAAATATTGTGACTAATCAATGAAATTTCCAACGTGGTACTAAAGTAGACCTGGTTTGGCACAAAATTCAAGATGTGCTGGTGCCACACGAACCCAACGCTCACCCAAGTCATTGCGACATTCAAAACTACTTTGATACTGATCCTACACAGCTTTAATTAATTATTTAAAAATAAATTTGCAAAACTGAGCGATTTTATCATTAACGTCTTTTATGGATTGCGTAATAGGATAAGACCCCTTATCTCTAACAGGATGGGGGATTCTTCAGCCCTAAAACAATAGAATTCTCAGATTTTCGCTATGATTTTTCGAAAGAGTTCATTATTTCCAAGCTACTGACTAAACAAAAATAAATACAATTTCAGATTGTAGTACAAATATACACGGAGCCATTGCAGCCACAATAATCTCTTTGAACCTGTACCTCACATACATTTGCTAACAAGCTATCGCATGCACCACCTCGCACACAAATATTTCACACTCGATGAAGTTCAATAATTATACAAATTAATTTTAAACTGAAATGTCAAACTTCTGCTGTTCATTTAGAAAGCAGTAAACTAAAATTCCTGTAGAACGAGCGGAATGCAGCAATAAAGTTTTTTTTCCTTTCTATTCATTTTCCACATGCACATGGCTTTTTAATAAAATGAAACAAAACAAAGCAAAGTAAAAAAAAATAAGTTTTTCAGAGCAGAAAAATACAAAAGTGAGAAGAACTAAGCACATATTTCACGTAATGAAATTGAAAGCAATGAAAGGAAGGATCGTGTCACATATGGCATTGTCCCGGTTTGGAACATAAAACATAAACACACAATATAACCATGAGTGTTTATTATCCTCTCTACTACGTACTTTGTGCTTTCATATCAACATATGGGAAAACTAAGTGATAAATATAAGGATAGCTATCCTATAGACAATGTCTCAATCTTTCATTATTTTTACTATACTATAAAATTGTTGTTCAACCGAATTGAATTATTAAAGTGGATATTGATAATTCAGAGATTTGTTGTCTCGATTCCTCTACTTGTGCTTTTAATTTATTCTATTTTGTATCATTACTATATAATGAGGAGATGTAACGTCAACATCGTAAATTGTATTATGTCATAAAGTGCTGTGTCTTTATATTGAGTAAGGAATTGATGAAAAAGTTGGGATGGAAAAGGAAAAATTAAGCTCTGCTCTTTAAGATGATTTAAATTCAAAAGTTTTTGAAATTTAAAATTGAAAGTTTCAATTGGTTTAATTAACTCAGGGGCGTAGCCAGAAAATTTTTAAGGGGGGGCCCATTTTCGAAAATTAAAAAACCGTTATTTTGTATCCTTAAATCTATATTCATTCTTCATAAGTTTAAATATTTAATTCATTATTCATACATTAAATTTAATTTTTCGTGCTGATTTTGACATTTCTTTCATCACTTCCTCTACATTAACTGGTTCTTCTCTATAAATACTTAATTAAACAATTATCAGATTTTCGTAGGGGGGGCCCGAGCCCCATATGCCCCCCCCCCCACCCCTGGCTACGCCCCTGAATTAACTCATGCAGCAAGTTCCTTTTAAAGCTTTAAAATCATCCAAAACCAACAATTTCCACACAACATCCCTGAACATTCCCCCCTCGAAATAAAAAGATAAGCATGTAAAGCTTTAATGAACACAAAATTTAATTATTTATCTCATCTTTCATTTCTTTCCTCCCTAACTGCTCATAAATTGAAACCATTTTTATGTACTAAAATGTGATTTATGATAAGCGATGGGTAGACATTGTATCGAGAATATTCTCATTTCCACACAGCATTAATTGCTTTAATAAAATCAAGAGATGAAAATTATTTTAGTAGGAAATTGAAATAAATCGTTGACCTTCGTATTTAATCAGGGAAACTCATTTGGGGTTGTTCATAAATGACATCCACCATTTAAGAAGGGAGGGGCAGGGCTGAAAGCTGGAGTTTTGTAAATAAATTTTTAATTCATATAAATCAGTGATAGTCAACCCATCTGTGACACATTATAGTGTTGCTTACGGTTTTGGTCATGGCTTACCACCAAGGTGTGCTCACCACTGATTAAAATATTGACAAAAAGGGAGGAGATCTAAAAATTTCGCTTTTAATGGACATCATTTATAAACAACCCCTTTGGATTTTATAGATTTTTTTGTTCATTAAAGTTTTACTCGTTTCTGTCAATTCATGTTTATTAATTTTTTTGACATAAGCGGATCATAATTTTGGTTATGTTTTAATGAAAAACTTTCATGATTTTGATAGTTGAGGGTGGTGGGATGCTGACTATACTGTTGATTTTAATTTGAATAATGTAATTTGGAATTTTCAGAAATTTATTACAGCTTGTATTTGTTTTTAAGCTCTACTGTATGGAGATTATTGTGGGATTTTGTAGAATTTTGATGCTTATTTAGGAAGTTTATTAAATTTAAATTATAATTTTGTGATATTTTGACTTTAAAATGAAATTTATTGAATTTTCACAAAAAAATTGTAATATTTCCTCTGTATTAGTCAACTGTGAGGAACAAGAACATCCTGAAACTCTTGTCTTCTGTGCTTTAAACTACCTTCGTCTCTAAAGCTTATCCAAACCTAAAGACGTAAGTCTTTGATAAGCAGCTGTAATTTTTCGATTAGGTTCAATGAAAATTCGATGAGCTTCCCCAAAATTCTCAATACAAGTCATTGGAAACTTGCCAATCGGTTTGTTCTCTTTGATTGCTTCCTGGAGCTCACTTCTATCAATCTTCCTATTAAGTGCTTCACGAATTGCCGTCACAAATTCATGAAATATTCTTATGTTCCCATATGAGTGGCTCTCATTCATCCTATCAAGAATTTGCATGATAATCTCTTGTTTATTCGGAGCATTGCTTTCTTTAATGCTGTTTACAGCTTCTTCTGAATACTTGACAACTGCACATGCATTAGCATTTGTTGTGTCTTCATAATACTTTAAACCTGTATTCCAACTTTCAATGTAATAAGAGCAATCTTCAGGCTGTCCTTGTGCTATTGCTAATGAATTGTAGAAAAATTAGAAAATGCTTATCAAGATCTTTTTACTGTTTTGTTACCAAAGAAATTCAAAATCAGAAACTTGAACACAAACAACTTCATTATCGCTTTTGTTTGACTTGACTGTTGAACAGGAACTGACTTAAATGTAAAATTTTTGATACTTTTTAAGACATTCAAGGTTTTTACAATTATAAATTTCAATTCTTTATCTGCAAAAATAGCCATTCTTGTGTACGAATTTAAATGCATTTTAAACATACGAAAATTTTGGATTTTATTTATTGTTATTTAAAATTATGCAAATGTTTGTATTAAAATATCTTTTTAAAAACAAAACTCGAAACTAAGAAGCTAGAGGTGTAGCCAGGGATATTACCAACAGAATTGTTGACTATGATAAGGAACCTTTCACTTATTTTAATCAGGATCCCACCCCTCTGCTTCCCAGAAATTAATTTTTATTGATAAATGAAGTAACTCGCTTAAGAATTTTTTCATTAGCTGAATTTTGTCCACTTATAAAAACCTTATAAGCTTCAGCAAAACTGTTGATGCAAGTCATTGGAAACTTATTTATTGGAGTATTATTTTGAAGTCCATGAAAGATATCACTTCTTGTAACAAGTCCGCCAAATGCATCACTAATCGAACTACTAAATTCGCCCAGTGATTGGGATACTACATGATGATCAAGTGCCTTAATTCTTTCTACGAAACTATTGGCTTTATCCTTCCAGTTTGGTGGGTTTGCTTCTTTGATTTCATGAATGACTTTTTCAAATTCTTTTGCACGTGAAATCACCTCACGAGATTGCAAATTTTGCCCAGATTTTAAATGATAATTCCAGCGTTCAATGTAATGTGTACAGTCTTCAGCACTTTGTGCGATTGCTGCTAACAATTAAAATGTTAAATTTAAAGTTTTTAATTTTGAAATAGTTTTTAATTACCACAGTAAGATGATATGAAAGCTATGAAAATGAGGAACTTCATCTTGATCACAAACAAGCAACTAAGTTAAATATTTAGAACTTCTCTTCTTTTATAGTCAAATTAATAAACTCAATACTATGGTGAAATTCAATAGCAACTTTATTAAATGTTTAAAACTGGTTTTCAATTATTTTTCTTGACTAGAAGAGTAAATGAACTTGTAGAAGGTTATTTAGGCACATGAGTGTTTATAAAATAAAAGAAATCTTGTCTTGCTAATTCTAGTTATACCTTCATAACATCAGTTTAAATGAAATTCAAAAAAAAGAATCTAGTTTTATTTTCAAGCACCAACTAATCATCACGAAAGTTCAAGAAGCAAAAAAGCCTCGGTAGCTCACTTGGCAAGGTAAAGGTCACGAAAGCTTATGTTGAATTTGGACTTCCGAGTTCAAATCCCACCACGAGCCTAGTGATTTTTCGGAAGTTTAGATACTACGGCTTTTTAAGTGTAGCAATTGAATAACGAGATTGAATCTTTTACTAAAACGGGCCTGAATACGTTGTAACTGACTGAATAATTGGAACGAGAACTGAAGTTAGATCCAGAAGCTTTCAATTTACCCACTAGACAAAACTACTGAAAAAAAAATTTTATGCGCTGTATACCTGCGGGATGTGTCCCAATTTCAGCTCTGAAAAAGCGGTACAGACCTATTTTCAAGCATTTTCCAAGAAAAATAGGTTCAAAAAAGCGCGTTATTAAGGATTTTGGGCGGGACTTTGTTTTTTTTTTAAAAAATCTGTTCTGCTCAAAAATGCGCAGTTGAACGGCCTAAAGATCCGAAAAACTTTCAGCAAACCTTAATTTCCATTAAAATCTAAAATTCATTATGTTCAATATTAGTTGCATACCTAGCATTATAGTCGTAATTTCACATATATTTCTCTCTCAACCTCATATCAAATTCCACAAACCAATTTCAATAGATTTTAAAAAAATAATTTTTAAAGGCACTAAAGTGGACGATGCGATACATCAATGCATTATAAATCTCCATACGACTGTGAAAACATGCACGGAGATTTTTCAACCAACATAATCTCAATAAATTTTCCACCGAAAAAATGCGTATTTTAAGCAATAAATTTCATTCTGCAATGTGCAAATATTCAGTGAGTCTGCACTAAATTATTGTCAGTAATTCAATTAAAAATACTTTTATTCGATTGAAATTCAATCTATGTCTGTATTGTGTATTCATCCGATGTGCCGTATTGATTCATTAAATGCCAATAAATTTAATTAAAATAAAAAAAAAAAAAAATATTGATGTGTCGCATATGGCACTCACCTGTATGTCGATGTTTTAGTATCGAACTCACTCAACTCATAATTATTATTATTGTTATTGTTGCCATTGCCATTTATTGTCTTTGTAGCTGTTGAAGACGTCGTGGCTGTATTGACATCATCGACAATTAATGCACTATTAGAATTTGTATCGGAATCACAACCCGTACCATTACCACAATTACCTCTCCCATGCTCATTCATGCATGCATATAACTGTTTATGTTTTTGCGTGAATTGTGGCGTCGCTTCCGGATATAATAATGATTCACGCTCACTCTCTGCAGATCCTATTCGAGTTAATTCACGATCTCGATTGCCCACTTTCGGCTCCGTATGGATATTCATGCCGCCATTTACGGGTATCTATAGACATAAAATAGCATAATGTACATACTTTTTATTATATGAATTATTCATGGACATGAGAGGAGATGAGGATGAGGTTATTAAGCGATTAAATGAGTTTTTAGGATTTTCTATGGGTGAATATTTTTGTTGTTGATGAGAGATGGATGCTGTATTTTGGAATAGGATTTGAAGGGGGTTGAGATGTTTTGTGAACCTTATCTCTTAGACAGGACACTCTATGGGGTCCACTATGGTGCTAAGTTCATAAGCTTTTAAAACCTCACTGAACCTAGGTTCTTAGTGCTTCTTTATCAATTTTAAAAGACATAACCTCAAAAGGGCTTCATAGAACTGACAAAGGACTTTGGTAAGACATGAACTTATGTCTTAGGGTTCGTTCACTTATTACGTAACGCACTAGGGGGGGGAGGGGGGTCTACGATTTTGTTACGGTTTGTTACAGGTGGAGGGGGGGGGGTCTAAATTTTGTTACGTAACTTTTCAAAAATTATATTTTTTTATAATTTTTTCTATATTAATTTTAAATTTTTTTAACGTTAAATTTTAACTTAAGAACTTTTTAGTTATAATTGCTTTCCTTCTATTTACTTTTACATACTTAAAGGAAGTATAATAAACATTTGATAAACAATTTAAATGAAAAAAATTATTGTTACGTTATGGGGGGGGAGGGGGGGTCTAAGATTTTGTTACGCTTTGTTACAGGGGGGGAGGGGGGGGTCTAAAAACTCGTTTTTTTGCGTTACGTAATAAGTGAACGAGCCCTTATGGATAAACCTATTTAAATTAAAAAGACCAACACCAATCTACTCCAAAATGAGTTCCATGCCCCTCAAAAATAAAATCGTCAGATATATATGAAACTACCATTTATGCTCACCTGTTGTAAAAGATGCGGCTCACCCATCTCCGAATTTAATATCGATTGTGCCATTTCGGTTTGTAGTAGCTTAATTTTCTGTATCATTTCCTTGATTTCATATCGTAAAATACCGAGAAAGCAGAGCTTTAGAAATGCAATTACACAATAACCTAATACGAAGAGAATGTCTGCTGTTTGTCTTAACCATTGAATTAGTACGTCAATACAGCCCTAATAAAATTGAGAATAGAAGAGAAAAAAAAGGAAAGAAGATAACATTATGAATGTAGACCAAAAGCGATGATTATGATGATAAAAATGTACGTATGAATGAGGAAAAGAATATAGGAGAAAGATATACTTTATTATTACAAAACTTTTTCGTCATGTTTAATGATGATTATGCTTTAACTTTGTTCTCGTGCTTCTAGTTATTATGATCGCTTATGGTTGGGGATTGTAGGAATTTTGGCGGAAAATTGACTTAAATGGCTGAGTTTGAGCAAGAATTGAGGGTTTGTGATGTCATAATCAAGACTGAGCTTGCCTGGGAAGTCTCAGGAGCCGAACCGAAAAATCGAGAATTTATATGTAACTGGGATCCTTTGGGTATAGGGGAGCAAAAACTTGGTTCTTTTGTATAGTGACTTTGTTAGCCTAGAAAGCACACTGCGTAAAAATGGCAGTGTGGCGTTCACGGCGGCATGAACCAAATTTCATTGAATCAAGTGTGGTGCCGCGGATAGGTGTGTAAGGAATCAAATAATTGGTTCCCAAATCTCCGTCAAACTGATACATCGCTAATAGTTTCGAGAAGTTTTCAAAACCTCACCCCACTGCTTATTATCACCTTCTATCGTTCAACCTCAAACATTACCATTCCGAAAATTAATTATTATAGCCACATTATTCCTCAATTTTCAACCACACCACACCATAAGAATACTCATGGGCGTTGTATCTTTAATCATAATTCCTCCAACCTCCACAAACTTTTAAGGATCTTGTACGATTTTGTCTACCTTTTCGTTTCATCGTCGCTGTATAATAAACGCATGTAAAACTTTTTTTTTGTACGTGAATGTGTAATTTGCTATTTTTTGAGCATAAAAAGGAACAACACACAAAAATGCCAGGTGTTTTTACAATTTTTGCGTAGAAAAGATGAAAAGTTTGTTTAATCAAAACAAATGAAAACACACACAGCACTGAAATAAGAACGAAAAAGTTTATAAACATCAACAACAACAACCGCACCAGCTAGCATGATAATTTTCGTAAATGAAGGCATTTAATATTATTAAACTTTAATCAAATTCTCCGACAGACTTGCTATTTGTGTTTGGCTTTTTTTAAATGCTATTTTAGCTGCTGTTGTTGAAGTTTTTCTTTTTTGGCATTTTGTGTGACTAAGCTTTGGTGCTGTAGATTTTTTTGAAATAGCTTTGAGGGTAATGTTGATAAATCCTCTAAATGCTAGGATTTAGCAAGCATTTCATCGTGGGAATCGAACCCAAAACTTTAAGTAAGACAATCTTTTAGATTTTGTATGTTGTCTGGCCGTATTAAGCCATAGATGACTTGAATTATAATTAACAGTATTGCCTACATAAACTTCGATATCCTTTGTTGTCAGATGCTCAAATATCTTAAATCTGTATACTATACTATAAACTATAATCTCGGATATCTAAAATGTCTACTGGTGTGTCATGAACTTGTAGATCAATATTAAAGCCAGTCATGTTCTGTAAAAACTAATAACGACTGCTCCATATTAAAAAAGTAAACCCCAGTAAAATACCACAGTCTTTGGAACTAGATTTCAACATGCCACGACACCACAAACTTGAATAATTGCATTATTTTCAAGAATCCAAAATTTTCTTCAAGAGCACTTCAGCCATCTCAATTTAAATCCTGGATCATTAAATTTTAATCAATTCACCTGCAATTCCACTCCACTTAATTCCCAACACAGCAACAGCTCCTCGACATAAACTCTTAAAGTAATGAACTCTATGTCTACAAAACCTCGAACAAATAATTAATTCATGACATTATTCCAACCATAAAAACCTCGCGTCAAACCTCCCAACGCTGCAGTATTTCATGTGTTGCTGCACCTCATTAAAAATGCTTTCAAGTCATTCAACTTTTTTTTTTTGTTAAGTTCCATTGTTTGTAGCTTTTTGTTCTACAACAAACTTTTTCCTTCCTTTCCTTCAAACTTTTTATTTCGCATAGTTCGAGTGACTCTATTTTGTTCAGATTTGTAAGTCAAAAAGAAAGAAGGTCAGTCATTTGAGCTCACTCAATCTTTCTTAATTAAATTTTTTGCCTTCCTTTCCACTACCCAAAATATAAAAAAAGAGAAGTTAGAGCACTGAACTTTGATAAGATCGTAAAAATTTCATACACAAAAACAATAACCGTCAATCTTCGTTAATGAGAGACACCCCCTGTACAGATTTTTGGCATAATCATCATT